CGAGTCTTACAACAAAAGCCTCATACTCGACTTTATTGTTAGTTAACAGAACAATTTTAATGGCCTGCCTCAGGGTTTCCCCCGAGGGCATGATTAGAACCACCCGAGGCCAGACCTTTTCACATTGGAAGCTCCGTCCGTGAACAAGGTCCAAACCCCTGATGTCATTTCCATTACCAGCACTGCTTCTTTAGCAGCATGGGCAATAACCCGCGACTGAAATAGGCCACAAAGTCGGCCAAAACTTGTGATTTGATCGCATTCCTGTGCTTGTATTCAATATCGAATTCACTAATTTCGGTTGCCCATTTGGCCAACCAGCCAGACAACTCAGGCTTATGAAGAACATTTTGCAAGGGAAAGGTTTTCACAACGGCTATCAGATGGCACTGAAAATAAGGCTTGAGCTTTTGAGAGGCGACTACAAGGGCTAAGGCCAGTTTTTTGAGGTGCGGGAGTCTCTGCTCCTGACAAAATTTTACTAACATAATAGACAAGAAATTGCGTACCTTCATCTTCCTGGACTAGAACGACACTTACCGCTACCTCCAAAACCGCTAGGTATATTAGCAAGTGTTCACCTTCCCCAGTTTTGATAGTAGCGGGGGGCTTGATAAATAACGTTTTGGGTTTTCAATGCTTGCTGACATTCCAGAGTCCATTCGAAATTGTTCTTCTTCTTCAGAAGTTAGAAGAAGTGATGACATTTTTTCAAGGATCGAGAGATGAACCTGCTTAATGCGACCAATCTTCCAGTTAGCCTTTATATTTCTTTTACGCTTGTCTGCTGGTCCGGAATGTCTTCAATGGCTTTAATCTTATCGGGATTTACCTCGATCCCCCTTTGTGAAACCAAGAATGCAAAAACTTACCGGAGCAACCCTGAACGCGCATTTTTCTAGGCTGAGCTTTATGTTGTGCTTCCTTAAGATATCGAAGGTTTCTTGGAGGTGCTTTAAATGATCATCTACATTTAAAGACTTGAACAATATGTCATCTATATATACTTTCATTATTTTACCTATTTGCTTTTCGTACATCTTGTTCACGAGCCTCTGATAAGGGGCTCCGACATTTTTAAGCCTGAAGTCCATCACATTATAACAATATGTGCCGAAGTTCGTTATGAACGAAGTTTTTTCATGATCCTCTGGTACAACTTGATTTGATTGTACCCGGAATACGCATTGAGGAAACTCATTAACTTTGCCCGGCCATTGCATTAATCTTTTGATCTATGTTTGGTAGTGGGAACGAGTCTTTAGGGCACACCTTATTCAAGTCTTTATAATCTACGCATATTCGAAACTTGTTATTCTTTTTCGAAACCACCACTACATTAGCTAGCCATTCGAGATACTTTACCTCCCGGATTGAATCGCTATCAAGTAGTCGAGTTACCTCTTCCTTAACTAACCTGTTTTTGGCCTATTCTATTGGGCGTTCCTTTTGCCTTACTGGAGGGATGCTCGGGTCCAGGCTTAGTTTATGCATGGTCACTTCTAATGGGATACATGTCATATCTGAGTGCGACCATAAAAAACAATCAATGTTAGATTTAAGGAGATTAATAAATCCTGACTTGAATTCGGGATTGAGTCCTGTTCCAAGTGAAACGTTCTCTCCGAGAATTCCTCGAACAAAGACACTTGCTCGAGTTTTGCTGCTGTGGATTTGGTCGAGTCTGTCTCTTCGGGTACTTGAAAGTACTTTGGTACCTGGTGAAATTCCGGTGACTCATCGCCCTTATTATCTTCATTTGGCACGGGAGCAGGCGTCGGTTCCTATAATTGCTATTTGTTGGACTCTTTCCCTTTACTACGGAAAATCGATACTACATTCATTTCTCTTGCCGCCAGTTTATCTCCTCTTATTTGTTTGATTCTATCCGGGGTCGGGAATTTCAACAGTTCGTGATATATTGATGGTATGACCTTCGTCTTATGCAACCATGGTCTACCAAGAATTATGTCATAGCCCATGTCATCATCCACCACCTCAAATAACGTGGTCTTTGTTACCCTTTCAACGTTCGTGGGCAGCAGGATCTCTCCTCGGGTCGTCACACTTGCCAAGTTGAACCCGGTGAGGAGCTTCGTTGCCGGAATAATACTTCTGGTTAATTTGGATTGTTCTAGCACTCTCCATTGAATTATGTCTGCTAAGCTTCATGGGTCAACCAAAATACATTTAATCTTGAAATCTAGAACATTAAGAGAAATTACCAGGGCGTCGTTATGTGGCAGAAGAAGTCCGTCGGCATCTTCTTCCGTGAAAGTGATGTCGTATTCGACGACTTCCCGGAGTTTCCTAATGTGGGTCATCGATACTTTTGTCTTCTTGGCCGCCAGAAGGTTATACCATTGATTTCATTCTCTCTGAAAATCATATTGATAGTCAACCGAGGAGGGTCTTCCCCTATTTTCGAGGGTTCTGCATTGTCCCTGCTACGACCGTAATTATTCTTTGCTCGTCACTCAAAAACTCCCTGAGATGGCCGTTCTTCAACAGCGTTGCAACCTCCTCGTGCAGATGCCGGGAGTCCCCAATCCTGTGGCCATGAGTCCTATGATATTCGCATCATAAGTTGGGATCCCTCTGGCTGGGATCAGATTTGATTGGCTTCGGAAATCGTGCTTCTTTGATATTCCTCGTTGTTGATACCAACTCTACTATGTTGATGTTGAATTTGTAGTTTGACAACCTGGGATAAGTGGAATCCCGGATCTCCGTTACCTCTTTTTCTTTTAACGATCTGTTGTTCCGGCCATGGTCACTCCTTCTTTCAGGAGTGAACCTATCCGAGGACTGGGACCTTTTACTGCCACATCCCTCGGCTCTCTCATAAGGGAAAAAACGACCTTTAGGAGATCGTCGGTCTGCATCAAAATCATCCTTGAACTTATCCTGGTTCTTGTCTCGGTCCCCCTTGGTTGATGTCGGAAATCTGAGCTAATCATTTTCTATCTGTATCTTCGATTCATAGCGATTATGGACATCCGCCCATGTGGTCGCTTGGAATTCGAGCAGGCTTTCCATCAACTTTTGGGAGGCGTCAGAGTTCCTCGGGTTCAAACCCTTAGTGAATGCCTCCACCGCCATTCGTCTAGTACGGCCTGTAGTAGCATCCTCTCCTTCTGGAATATACTAATGAACTCTCGCAGCAATTCGGACTCAGCTTGTGCGATTCTGAATATGTCCGCCTTCCTGTCTTGGACCTTTCTAGCGCTGGCATGAGCCTTAATGAATGAATCTGCAAGCATTTTAAAAGAGTCAATTGAATGCTCCGGTAAAAGCAAATACCATGTCAACCCCCTTCATGAGGTTTTCTCCAAACTTTTTCAGCCGAACCGATTCAATCTCATGTCGAGCCAAATCGTTTCCTTTCACAACCGTTATATAAGTTGTGATATACTCTAAGGGTCTGAGGTCCCATCGTATTTTGGTATGTCCGGCATCTTGAATCTCTTTGGGATTAACTTCGGTGCTACGCTCGGTTTGAATGACAATTGAGTATATTTTTTCGAATCCGGGCCCTTCAAAACTGGTGGTTCACCCGAAATCTGGTCCATTCGGGCGTGAAATTCCTTCGCGTTCTCATCCATCTGCTCGTTCATCTCCTTCATGAATTTCACGAGTTCGATTTTGAAGGGATCATTATCTTTGTCATTACCGGATCCGCTACCGGTCCCCCCAGCACTGTCAAAGCCGACCTCACCCTAGGGGTATTGTTATCAACTCTTTGAGCCGTCTGATTTGCAGGAACGTCGGGCGGAGCTGGACCTCTTCCGTTTGCGCTATTGGAAGCGCCCGACAACGCTTGCTTCAATTTCGACATGACTTGGTCTTGCATTGAGAGATGGCCTGTGATGGCCTTCTAATGCTCTCTCTGAAGATCCTTACTGTTACCGCAATGTGTTCGTCTTCTGCGTCATCCGGAGTCGGCTCCCGTACATGTCGTGGGTACTATCCTCCACCGGCCATGGTTGCCTCATCCCCCTCGTTACGGGTGTCGCTGATTGAATCCTCGTGTTGAGGTAGATTTTCATGTACTTCAACGTTGCGTGCGATGTTGCCATTGTTAGCTTTCATTTTCGATTTTTCGCTAAGAAGAAAAGAATCAAACAAATTAGTAAAAGACACAAGGACCAACTCAATTACGCAGCTGTTTAAGCCCCACGATGGGCACCAAATTATTTGCTCGTACAACGGTACAGTTGAAGTTGTTACGTGGTGTATAGACAAGCACACTAATTTGATCCAAAAATGACAAATAAACTAGATTAAAAATAAGACTTTTCGTTTAAATCAAAGGAAATGACAGGCTTGGCTCCGGGAGCGATGCTTCCAAGGACAGAAATAAGAACAATATACAAAAACAAGTAAAGTTATTTTATTTAGCTTGAGAATAGAATGTAGCATAAGTTTTGCCAATCATTTCGTGTCTTACAATGACTGTTGAGTCTACTATTTATAGCTATACTTAGGGAAACAAGATCCTAGGATCAAGCCCCTCGTAAATGACAATAAAGAGGACCGTTGATGAATATGTAATAACAAACCGTGAATGCTATCCGATGGCAAGCATTTGATTCTGCTCACGTTGATCATATTCCCTTCGGGGTCAGGCCGATGTGAATCACAACTGTTGTTTCCGGTACTGGTTGTTACTCGATTTATCTTCTGCCTATTTTAGGTTCTACGTGTCAAGCCATCATTCGATCAATTAATATAAACCAATTTTACCCTATATGGTGAGACTTTCACCAAAGTGTAATTACAGAACAAATGGACAACAAATCACAATTATTAAGGATATATTTGAGCTTTTTTCTTTTTCAAATGATAAAATCTAAAACAGATAGAATTAACTTCTTATTATAATTAATACTATATAAAAACATAGAGTAGTTCTTCAAAAATCAAACTCAAAAAGCTAATAATTTTCATAACCTAATTTTAAAACAAAATCAAAACGGCCTCCTATTTTAGCTTGGAGCTTTTCCCAACAAAGATGAAAAAGAAAAAATAAAAACAAAACCAAAAAGGACTAATAGTAGTGACAGATTCTATTTACACAGAGCATCGACTTCTCGAGACGTAGAAACAGATTTTATTTTAGCCGGCGCCTGCAAAAAGGATTCACAGTAATTGTTCGTGTTCGAGATGGGGGGCGGCGAATCAAATTACGAGATTCATCAAAACGCGTACATCAAGTTAATCCTACATGCCCTTAAGCACAAGACTTCCTCCGTCAACGGTGTTCTTCTCGGCCGGATCTCCGGCAACGATGGCAACGTCGAAATTGTGGAATCAGTTCCCTTGTTCCACTCTCATATTGGTCTCCTTCCTCCACTCGAAATCTCCCTTATCATGGTAAGTCAGTCCCCCTTTTCTTCTCTCAACTTTGCATCTAGAATTTATAATCAGTGGATTTGAACTTAGTCTTAATGTATATTTGTAAATGTCAGTGTGGTTTACTGATCGTTGTGATAATGAATTTGAACTTAGTATAACTGGATCCCCTACCAGTTTAAAGTTCTATCAGCTTACAGTGTAAACAAATATTTGCACAATCAGTAATTACTTGTCTTTTTGATAAGCATTACTTTGCAGTGGCAGAGTCAGAGATTTATGCGAGGGGATTAAAATTTATATTACTGCTAGAATGTCACACTTAGGATCTGAACTTGTAACCTAAATCAATTTTTGAACCCCTTTTGCCACTAGGCTAGATCTTCCTTTTATGTCAAGGGCATTCAAAAGTTTATAGATGGCCAAAAGAATTCGTTTTTACTCCAGTAGAGGGGATTGAATCCCCTTGACAACACATAGCTCAGTCTCTGGGTGTTTGATTGGACATGAAGTTTAAGAAATAAATATTTTTGAAAGTTCAAAACTTTTGTGTGGATATTAAATCATGTCATTAATGGTGCAATGAGAAGCTTAAGGTCAAATTGTTTCCTAACATTGAGAGGTGTCATACTTTTTGGAACAAACTAATAAGGAAAAAGTGCTGCATAAGATGGAACAAAGGGAGTAACTTGCTCAAAAATGGTAAATAATTTGATTGATAGTGTAAAATCTTTACATTGTTAGTGTATATAATTTAAATCCAATACTTTTAGTTGTGGGTCAGTATCCACTATTTCTGTATGACTACAGATTTGAGTCGAGTATAAGTCAATGTATTTTGGAGAATTTTCAACTTAATATATGTTGCTAGGTAGAAGGTAGTGGGTCTCACTGCTTTCAACTTAAAAATACCATCACCTCCTACTTGTAATTTTGTTATTTGGCTGTCTGATCTTGTTGGAATGTTTATTTGGATAGATTGAGGAGTATTATGCTGATAAAGGTTTGAGTATTGTGGGTTACTTTCACGCAAATGAAAGATTTGATGATTTTGAGGTTGGGAATGTGGCCAAGAATATTGCAGATCACATCTTCAAATATTTTCCTCAAGCTGCTTTGCTTCTGGTACCTTTTTGCTTTAACCAATACAGTTCTAATTCAAAAGTTTCAATCTTTGAGTTTTAAGTTACAAAATGCTAGCTTAATGTTTCTTGCATTTTGCAGTTGGATAACAAGAAGCTTGAAGCTTTACTAAAGGAGGGGAAAGACAGGAGTCCTGTAATGCAGGTATGTACATTTCATTTTAAGGAGCTATTGGCTTTTGAAACTGAAGCTTAACTAAAAGTGTATTTTCTAATTTTTACCCTTCTGGTTAATTATTGATGTCAAATTTCGTACTCTTTCATGCCATTCAAATTTGAAGTTTTGTGGCATTTAGCTTTAGCAACTACTTGACCAGTATCTATTGTTTGTTCTTCCATAAGAAATTCTAGCTGCCCTATGATTTATCTTCTACAACAACTGGTTCGCGGGGAGCCTGTCCCATTTACGCCTCGTGATGAAATTAGTTTGAGTAATGTGGTTGCTTTAGTCTCCTTTGTTTTTATCCAAATGCCGAAGGTTATTACTTCTTTCCTGTACTAGAGAACTTCATATTGTTGTTTGAACTTTGACGATAGAGAACTTTGCCCTATTGTTTTGATTGCTGTGGGAGTCAAGAAATCAAGTTCTCATATAAGACTGCACAATAATCTTCATTTTTCTATTTCCACTGGGTGAACAAATATAAACCCTCCCTTCATATTCTATCTGCAGTATTTTTAGTTTAGCCAGTTGACCCAAAGGAAAAGAAGTTGATAACCCTACTTCGTTGTCTACCTTCGTCATTGTTCTCTTTTTTCTGAAGTTTGATAAAGCTTCATCATTCTTTTCTCTATAATATTTTGGAAAATACCGAGCATTCACATAGGTGCTTCTGCCACTAGCACATGCATAATGTCTCCACTGTTTCTATTTGTCATTCACTTTAACTCTTATAAAAATCTTTCGGTCAGTCTTTAACTCCAGTAAACTTGTTTTGGCACCAAAGGAAAAATCAGCTCCAAACAGACGGTAACAAGGTACTCTATACTGATTGATGGCTTCTGCTACCATTTTCAACTTCATTCCTGTCTCTCTCATTGTGCAAGTGGTATCTCATTTGCATTTTTCGAGGTCTGTTTGAGAGCTTTCTATGTCGAGAAGTCCTATTAGAGCAGCTCATTGCCTGCAGTACTTAACAAAAATATGGTATGTCTGGTTGAAATGCTAAATCACTAAGGAGATTATTTTAAACTTGACATGTTAAAGTTTGGTCCGAAAGTTAGAAGAAGATTTTTTTAGCTTAGTGGTTGTTTCAAGATCCTAAGGTAGACATGATCTTTTTCTGTGCATCCCTCTTTCCGTCAGATGTTAAATTTAACTGGAGATTAGCCCAGTTCAAGCTCTTGAATGTTCTATCACTTAGATAATTGATACAAAAAATATATTAAGAAAAAGCTAAATCTACAAAATGGGAAATCATCCATACTTTTCCGCACTTGAAGTCACCACTGGAGTCGTATGCAGGGGAACTCGTACGTGTGGTTTTTTGGGTTTTTTTTTTTTAGGTGGGGGGGGGGGGGGGGGGAGGGAGCTAGTAGGAGCCATCCCATCCCAATTTGTATATGTGGAGCTCAATATAAGATCCTATTTTCTTGCAAGACTCGAATAAGTGAAAACCATCTGCTTTACATCTTCAATTCAGTCAACTCTGTTTTGTCTTCTCAAGTCCAAGACATTGGCTCAGGCCAGATTGTGAGGAGGAAAATGAAATATTTTATAAAGGTGGAACATGGAGAGTTTGGATAGGTTAGATCTTCACATGATATCTCTTGTTGGATTGGGGTTCCTTTAAAATACAAATATCTTGAATGTAAAAAGAAATAGAACACCCACTTTGACAACTTCAGGAGAAAAAATAATATCAGAACCTAAATTCGTATTTGAAATGGACCTTATATGTTCTTTTATATTCTGGATGAAGATGAATCACCATGCTTAGCTTGCATTAGAGGAGAAAGTTGCTTTAAATCATTCAGATGAAATAAAGTCTTCAGTTGGTTTCATCTGCATGTGAAAAACAGAGAATTGTCCCAAATGAGTAGCTTCTGGCTTCGCATGAAAGATTTTCAATGGGTTTTAAGACCGATGGCCTGAAAATCTTGACTGCAGAGTCTTTTTGCTGTAGTTGGGAATTCGTGATAAAATAAGTAAAGCGTTGCTTGAAAATTGAATCGTTTGCCATAGGCGAAGTTAGATTCTCTCTGTGTCGTATTTACCAATGTATCCAGGGTTCTAGATGTGATTATTTGTAAATCGGTTAGATAACAATTGGGTAGAGATACTTTATAGAGTCAATATGACCATGCTCTGTATTAATCTCTTTCTCCCTACATTTATAATTGTGTTACGTATTGTGATGCAAGCTAATTCAGAGTTCTAACTTCTGATTATTTAGTTTAAAGCTCGTTCTCTGCACTTGTTTGTGTCTTTGTCATTACTAGTCTTGCTTGTATAAGACTATGATTCTTATAGATTTGTACTTAAACATGTTAATTCATATCTTCATAGTAGTTTCCTTTACTGTATGTCATTTACTTTTGTTCAGCTTTACACTAAGGAAGTATCTAGGAGCTGGAAACTAGTGGGAACGGATGCAAGCGGCCCTCTGAAAATCAAGGAGCCATCTGCTAATATTATCCTTTTAGATTATATCTCTTCAGGAAAATGGAAGGATATCGTAGATTTTGATGACCACCTGGATGACATTAGCAAGTAAGAACTACATACTGTTGTCTGCTTGAACTCTGCTAATATCCACATTGATCTCTATAAGTTCCTTATGTTTTCGGCTTCTGCTATTCCATTTTGTTAGGGACTGGCTGAATCCAGAGCTCTTCAAGTGAAGTTTCTGTGAAGCACGGAAACTATCGTGTGGTTACCATGTGATATTCGGTATTTATCCCTCCAGTGTAGTTGCTGAGTTTCTGACGAAAAGAATCTAATGGCTCTGAATTTGCAGACTGGTAGGGAGCTTTGGAATATTATAGAAGATAGCATCATATCCTCGCAAAAGTATGCATTTCTAATAGATCAAACATAATTCTTGAGCAAGACAACTTGATTTTGTGTTGAATGGAAGCCAAAGTGTTTATTTGGAACCTTAAATCTTTAACTCGCATGGGTGTTTGTTTCTAGTAATTTGATGACATGTTCTCTTATTGCATAATAGACACTTCATCTAAGAGCAATCTGGCCTTAAATTATGATCATATAGGTCATCGACTCATTGTCAATTCAAGAGAAATGCAGATTTGTCGCCTTCTTGGCAAAGCACCTAACCCTCAGTTATAGCAAGTGTTCGAATATTAAATTGTATGATTTGATTTTCTTTTAAAAAAGAAAACAGTTTAGTTACAAAAACACATTCATCTATCATCAGCGCACCTCTAATGAAAAATGACTGTTGCACTAATACATCAGAAGATATATATGTATCCCATATATTCTTCAATGTCCTAAAGCCAACTATATATGGAATCTTTTCTTTTAAGAATAAAAATTGGATCATTTCTCGATTTGTGCGTGTTATCCTTCCGCAATGGGCGTACTAATTTTTTCTGTATCGTTCCATCTTTATTGGATGTCCCCAAAGAGTATCTATATATGGAATCATCTAAGCATTCCCACGCCCCAGTCCAACTTGCATGACTGGCTCAAATGTTGGTGTCAAAACACCAGTACTATTACTGTTACTAAACCTTTTCCTGTTTCCATCCTAATACCTATTTTAATTACTTTGGAACATTTGAACCAATAGAAACTGCAATTCTCTTGAAAATAAAAACGAACTGGTTTATTTCTATTAACTATATCATCTCCAGGCACCAGAACACACCTACCTCAACCAAAGTAATTCTCTTAAAAACCCACCAGGAATTACCCATCAATTCGACTCTCCCCATTTACAATTACTATAAACTGAATATTGATGGAGCATTTGTTGCTGTTATGGGAAAAGGAGGAGCTGGCGGGATCACTCTAAATAGCTCTGGCACATGGAAGGCTGGATTCTCAAAACCTTACATTATATTAATGCTTTACAAGCTGAGCTTATGGCATTATTACATGGACTGCAACTAGCTAATAAAATCTACAATCTCATTACATTAATCTAGGCGACTGATTCACAGGTATTAGTCAACTTACTCCGACATGCAAACATAAAATAATCATTTCTTTTTTGATCGCAGGCTCTTACCTGAAGAATTTGGGCAGCAAACAAAGGTAGATCTAGGATTTTGATCCTATGGGCTCATGATTCGAGTTCTAGCAACTGAATCCATCATTTCGACGCGGAACATAAAATTATGAGTAAAAATTACTAATATTGCAATAAATAATAGATATGACCCCATAACTTTAAAAATATAATAGGTCTAATGCTAAATATCTTGAAGGTTGAACTCATAAAGCTTAAATTTTGAATCCATCCCTAATCGACAGAACACGGAAATCACATGACTTAAACCTCCTAACTTTGCTTTCCTTTCGGTTTATCGACACTAATGGGACTGTAATTATACATAGTCTTTCAATTCAATAAATCGCCTTCTATTAACCAAGAAAAGGCTCGCGTCTGACCCGCTAGAACACAGGGTCAAGTCAAGTCCTTACCCCCCTAGATAAGAATTTATATCTCCTTCATCTGATCGAAAAGGAAGGGAAACTTGACTACCTCTTCTATTATATTTACATTAATTACATTAGAAAAATCTAAGTCCATTCTCGTCATGATCGATCCACATCCTAGGCTTGAGTCACCTGAACTACGAATTTTTCCATTGATTGAGTCTTGAAATCACCCCTTGAAAAAACCATCTGGTTCAGACTCACAAATAGGGTGGCAAACGGGCGGGTCGGGTCGGGTCAGATATGAGCGGGTCAAAACGCATTATTTAAAAAACGGATAAATTATCCGACCCGGCCCGTATTTGAGACGGATAAAAACGGGTTTATCCATATTATCCATGACTTCTTACATACGATCACTTATGAGAGAATTCCTAATCTTCCAAACTTGAGGAACCCCAATTTGAGGCTTTACAAATATAAAAGTTAAACACATTAGTTATCCATTTGGTTAACCATTTTCTAAATGGATAATATGGTTCTTTATCCATATTCAACCCGTTTTTAAATGGTTCATTATCCAACCCATTTTTTGATGAATAATATAGTTAGATAACTGTTTTCTTTTAACCAGTTTGCCACCTCTACTCACAAATGAACAGAAAGTGAGGCAGGGTTCCTTCACTCAGGAGGGAAAAGAGTGGGTGTGGAATGAATTCCCACCATTTCTTTCGCCCCTCATCATAATTAAGTAATAATAACCCTTGAAAAGTTTCTTCTATCTCAACAGGTTCCATCATGATGAGAAATGGATCACTTCAACCAATACTTTATTTACAAGTGGGCCAAATATTATCCCTTTGACTCTACACTTGGTCCAAATTTGGACCATATACGGAGCTTCTATTATTAGTGCAATACAAGAGGCATGGGCATATTTCCACTTTCGGCAAAAGTCATGTTTATTTTGGGACGTAGACGAATATATGCTGTCCCATCCCTTCATTCTACTTCTCCTATAAATATTCACACAATCTTGCCCATTGAGACATTCCAAAGGCTATATATGCATGAAACCAGTTATCATAAGCCATAAAATTTCTCCTGTTCTACTTGTGGAGATTTGCTCATAATTTGTCTAGAGAGTCCTTGCATGAAGAGGTAGGGAGTAGATTGCAGCCAAGGATGACTTGCCGAGATGTTGTAGCCACTGCAACGACTTATCGGCAGGTTGTCTTTGGCTACATTTTACTCTCTTCTGCTCATGTAAGGCTCTGTAAGACGCATATAAAGTTCAATTATTGCATTTCACAAATTGCGTCCAGTCAAAAGTGGTAGGTTCAGCTATATGGAGAATATTCGAGTTAATAGACTACTCATATAGTCGTAACATGTACATTTATGCAAAGATTTTATTTTCGTATCTTCTTATGATTTTTCCCTCATTTATAGTGTCATATATTATAGCTTTTCATTGTTAGTATTATTTCATATTTTGTTGATTCCATTTGTGACATGATCCATGCTTTAAGCAAAGAATAAAGGACTCTATAAACTACATATAAGGATTGTTTAGTTCAAGTGATAAGGGTTAAAGGACAATTATCTTGGGATAAAATGTGGAATTATATATTTTATCTCGTGTTAGGTTGGACTTTTATTGTAGAAGCAATTCTCATTTCAAAATCAGTTGTACTATACTTTTGTTGTTACTTTTATTACCATATTTAATTACGTGGGATAACAATTCCAAGATAGCTAATCCTCAGATAAAACGACCAAACGACAAAAGTGCACTTCTCCACTTCTCCAAAGCCCGCATTCCAAAGTCCTTAAAAATGGCAAGGCTAAAATTGAAGGGAAACTTACACAAATGTCCCAAAATAAGTCTTAACTTACCAACCTCTTACCATTAGTCATAGATTTACCAAAACTAGCCAAGTACATATAAAAATTAAAAAACCAAATAAATAAGGTTCTTTCTCTCAAAGAATCACATGCAAAAATCACCTTCCATATTTTTAAGCATGATTAGCAACATTAGATGCAAAATGGAAAGGAAATTTCATGGATGAGGTAACAAATAAGGCGATTAAAAAAAAAAAAATAATATTCCAAATATCTAAGCAAAAAAAGAACTTTTTCAATGGGTATAGTTGAAATTTATTGAAAACATATAGATAAGTCAATATACAAAATTTGAGAAAGATTGGAGGTGATTTGGATTGGTTTTGTATCAAAATTCGTAATTAAATCGAGTTCAAAAATTCTTCTGCGACACATTTATCAAACATGTATCACGCATGTATCTCACACACAGTTATACATGGATATACATGTTATATATAATTGATACAAATATGATAAATATGTGATATACATATCATATTTTTTTCATGTTCAGTTTTTACTTCGAATTTTCAATTCAAACCACCTCAAAACTTCACCTAATCATCCCAAAACTGAGATTCAAGCTCCTTAAGATGTACCCAATCTATTCTAATAATAACACTCACTCAAAAGAAAGCAAAAATTTAACTTTTTTTTCTACAAATAGCTAATTGGCTAATCTTAGTAATATTTTATGAATTGGCCAATTTTTGTAACGAGCTACTTATAAATGGACATAGCTGGTAGTTTCTCAAAATTAGAAATTAGTAGTTTATCTATTATAAACAAACATATATTTTATATTATATTGTGATATCTTGTTTTAATTCAACAAACCAAACATCTATCAGAAAAGTATGTCCATTAAATATTTTTATTATTATTTTCTCCATATATTATAACCCTCACATTATAATCCCAGAATAACACGTTTGCAAGTCAAACGACCCCAAGTAGGATTTCTCACATCTACTGAAGAAAAATGGCAGGAGTAGAAAGTATAAACTTTATCACATGTATAAAATAGCCGAGCCGTTGTTTCAAAATTTGACATGCTCTGTGATATCGAACTCAAAAGTTTCGAAATTTTACATATTTGTTTTAAATGTAACATCTATAATGGCAACTAATTGGGGCTTAGATGACTCCTTGTATATTAACAATCAAAAGTGAATACATGAAGGAGGGAGGCGCATGATGTAATTCAGTAGCTAGTTTGACTATAATCTTTCAATTTCATTGTACGCACGTAACATTTTTTTAGTACGTTCCAAAAAGAATGGTAGCTTTCTAAATCGGGAAATAATTCAACGCAAGCTTCTAATTTTTCTTCTTAATGCGAAAACTTTTAATTATAGCTGCACAGATGATATTGTATGTATAAAATCACAAGTTTCAAAATTTTCTTTTTTGTTTTATAATTAAATTTTGTTTCAACTATACCACCTAAATTGAAACGAAGCAAGTATCATTTGGGATTATCATTGCGAGGACAGGGAAGTCCGTTTCAACAAGTTGACAGATAAACATTGGTAGTATTTCTATATTTAGGTTTCAAGCCTGTCATCATACCAACTTCACCAGAAGTTCAGTCAATGATTGATAATGAACCAGATCATATAGTTGGGTTGTTACAATATTGATTTATTTTTCTACCTGTCATGCATGGACTACGTGGACGATAAACGCGAATTCTAATTCAGAGCGAAGATTAAAGTCTCTC